AAAGTGATGGAGAAGAAAGGAAATAGAAAAGGGGAAAGGAGAAAGAATGAGCGAATACACGAGGAAAAAAAATGAACCGCTTAATAGATTTTGCGCGCGAAAATTCCCTTCATGCGAAATGGCTTGATCAAAGTACTTTCTAATTACTCACCTCCATCTCAAAGTTGCATAGATCAAGAGCTGAATTAAAAATTGACACGGTAATGTGTGACCAAGGTTCAGCGTTTTGTCAGGTGTGAATATCGAGAAAGTGGAATTCGAGTGAGCGACGGCGGTCCAACCTGTAGACGTTTCGACTGGCCACCGTCTATAGATTCTCCCCTATCCGCTACAACCGAGCTAAACACCTTCCTTTGACGATATCAAGTCGTGCCGTCGCGTGCCCGGGCTCGACACCTTCACATTGACGCGAATAATGAATCCTACAATAGATTGATCTGGCTAAATCTACCTCTGGGAGTAACATCACGCTATACTGTCCCAGAATTTATGACCGATATTTCTAATAATTACCGCTTGCTAGATCGTGTTTGTCGTGTAGATTTTGAGTAGGGCTGTGGAGTAATGTTTTTCAAGAACTTTTTAATGCCATACCAAGTTAGGATGTATTTAGTCAAGTCACTTCACAGAGTATATTTTTATTATCTTTTAATTGCTATGCATTAATCGGAAATATAGTGGAGTGGTTTCCTGTTGCCTTCTTAACGGTTTATGTTGCACACCCTGGCGCAAAAGCAAGTGCAGTTCTTCCCAGGACGACGCCACATTATAGGCTATAAAAAGGACTATTTCTTTTACTTACTCGTTTTATTAACCAAGAGGAAAAAACGTGTTAGAATTGATTCTAGGGAACAAACTCTTCAGTTGAGCATCTCACTGCGTACGGTCTATCCTCTCTAAGGAATCTTAGTGCGAAAAGATTATTCGACAATTCAAAACTCTTGCGACCTGATACCTGTTACAGCTTTTTGTGTATATATGTACTAGTGAGCTAGCCCAAATGACTTGACTCGTTTTATAGTCCACCAAGAGAAGGGTTAACCAATCAGAAGACGTAGAATATTCAATCCGTCGTGTATAAAGGCGGCCATTTTGTTTACTCTATCCGAATGACCAGTAACAGCTTGTCAGGCGAAGAGAAACAGAAGGACGAACTATGCTCTGCTACTTTACCCAAATATACACTTCTAACCTGAACAACGTTTCCCTACTGTCTTCGAAATATTCACTGCTAACCTCTGGATACTATACTCAAAGACGACCGTCATCATGATCAACAATACCGACATCGCGCCTTATATTCCAAATTTGGACAAAGGCAACGTATCCCTCTCAGAACTCCACGGCAATGGGATTTTAGGAACAGCAGTTTGCCATTCTGTAACATTTGATATTCACAATGTTCGTTTTTATAACTCTAGATGACAGCCGAAGTGAAAGTGTCTAGTCTGTCCTACTATTTAACCCATAGGTAAGGGAAACAAAAGATACGGATTTTTCATTTCCAATGGCATTGCTGCGAAAGTAAAAGCAACAGATTAGCCTGGGATTTGAACCCGATTCATGTATTCTACATTCAGCGCCGATAACTGCAATGCTACCCACAGATGCCATTAATTAGAAAACAATTTCGCGGAAAATATCACTGCGTATAGTTGGGGGGTGGATATTTTTTAATACTATTTCATTCTACACGTAGGCAATTGGAACTTTATATAGTTTTTTTTTTATTTGTTAATAATTAATTTTCCATTAATTATTTGTCAGGTGCGATAATGGAATTGTTACCTGTGGAATTTTCCATGGTTCTAAATTCAGGTTCGTCCTTCTTTTAGGCTGATTGCTATACATCTAAAGTTAATGAGTATAAAACTGCTGTAATTTTTTTTTGAATGGTTTAATAGTGTAACCTAAAGCGCTCGGGATAATCAAACACTATTTTTATTATGATTATGGAGATTTTAAAGCTTAGCCTATATTTGGCAGAAGGCTGACCGTATGGGTCACTCAATGAGGTTCGAACACTTACAAATCATTTGTAATTGTGCTAAGGAGACAAGCATTTTTTATATTATCATTATGTCCAGAAAAGAAAACAGTTGTTCGTATACAAAATAAAATATAATAAAAATACTTAAAAAGAGATACCTTACCAGTCTTGTTTTACGAAAAGTTACCAGATATGAAAGCTCCTTGGAAGAAGTGTACTTGTAAAATCATTGAAATTGAAATGGAATAAAAGTATGATAAAACATTTTGAGAATGTTAGTTCCAGGAGAAACTACTTTTAATGATATTTCAACTTAACAGACATGGACATTTTCTAATCTTTTAATTTTAATCGGACTAAAATTCATTAGATAAATATTTAGAAAAAGATAACGTTTAGTTTATGGTGTTTTTTTTTCTTTTTTAAATTATGAGAAATTAATTAGACACACGTTTTTACTATTATTTTTATTTTAATACAAATGGTTTTATCTTAAAATGTCTTTCGGCGTTTCAAAACATACCAGCATAATGGATTCGATTCGGTATCTAGCCCCCCCCCACGAGGGTTACATGTGGCACAATGCCGAGTTTAACATGGGTTTCACGAGCCCGTAGGCTCGGCCAAAAAATGCCCGTAGAACCTGTATAAACGGGATCGGATTGGTCAACATCCCCGAACGAGACTCTGCCCTTCAGCGGAGCCTCCTCCGGGTTCCTCTGTGCTCAGAGGCAGAGAGTTCGAGCGTCAAGCCGAGCTTCTCGGCTTGATTCGGTATCTAACCACCCCACCACGAGGGTTGCATGTGGTACAAGGCCGAATTTAAGGTGGGTTTCCCGATCGCGTAGGCTCGGCCAAAAAATGCCCATAGAACCCGTATAAACGTTATCGGGTTGGTCAAGCTCCCCGAACGAGACTCTGCCCTTCGACGGAGCCTCGTCCCGGTTCCTCTCTGCTCCGAGGCAGAGAGTGCGACCGTCAAGCAGAGAAGCATGGCTTCGACTCAATTTCAAGTTATTGCTACCGGTTGATTTATCCACCAATATGAATAACACGAATGCAGGTTTTTATTGATTTATTGATTTTTTTACGGTTTATCAACTTTTTTTTAAAGTTATTTAAAGCCGGAACTTATTTTGGGATTGCAATATATCTGGAGGGATAATAATGAATTTATCGTAAAAAAATCTTATAACACATATCTGTGAGAAGAGGACATGGATTCGTACCTTTCGCAATGGTATTTCCTAATAAGTGAATATAAATGAACTCGATTTGAATTCGTCCTCAGCTCTCTGATTAATAATTCCGAGTCTTTATCCATTTTAACACCAGACATTCGAGCTGACAGCACATGGTACAGGGTGACCCCCAAAAAACGGGAATTTTTGAAGTGCGTATTGCTAGACATGAGCAAGTGGCAACACTGCGAGTCAGTGACCTTAAGCAAGTAAACATTTCGCCATTTAAAATTCAAGATGAAATTCACAGTATCCCAGCTGAGATGTTGCAGCAGTCAATGAGGAATCTCAACAGCAGATTTCAAGCATGCATTCGTACAGGTGGACGCCATCTACAGGATGTAATTTTAAAAAAATGAAAATTCCATCATCGTTTCTTAAATGGCATGTCTTAAGGTTTCAATTACTATGAATAAAATATTTTTCTTCCATCACTCTTGGTTTTATTGGATTGCTAAAAAGTTCCCGTTTTTGGGGGTCACCCTTTATTTCCGAATTGTCAACCAATCAAATGCTGACCAGTTTCGATGTGGCAAAAACATGGTTTCGACTCGATTTCGAGCAATATTAACACTTGACTTATCCAGAAATATGAAGAAATATAAATGCAACTATTTATTGATCTATTGAATTTTTTTTATCGATTATAAACTTTTTTTAAATTTTATTTAAAGCCGAAACGTATTTGAGGATTTTAAGAATTTTTTTTTTTTTGGTGGGGGCGTTAGTAATGAATTTCTGATAGAAATATCACTATTTAACCCATAGAAGGGAGAAGAACAGGTAGATTCGTACCTTTACCAATGGTAATCGCACGTAAGTGACTATATCGAACCCGACTTGTATTCATACTCGAGGTTTTAACCATTATATCACCCACACATAGAACCTGATATTTTCGAATGGTAAACCATTTAAATATTGGCCAGGTTCAACGTTGCTTGATCGTACTATTCCATATTCAATGCGAAACAAAAGGGCCATGAAAATATTCCAAATTAGAAAGGCAGCCCCACATGGCAGACAGAACGACTAAAAATAAAATATATTGTTCTACCATTTAACTTTATCAAAATTACAAACAAAAAGAATTTATCTTAATTGAACATAAAATTTGTCACAGCTACATCTAACATAATAAAAGATTTAATTAATACAAAACAAAACAACGAGCCTAAACCTGAAGCCGAAATTTATACTATTAACCGCAAGGATTACCAGAAAGTATATATTGGAGAAACCTTAAATATATAATGGAGAAACATATTAAATGCATTCGTTGCTCACCATAACGAGACGGGTCACAAGTTTGACATGAAAATGGTGTTCGAATTAAAACAGAAAATTATTCTCTGAGACAAAAATGTTTAGAAAGTGATTTGATTAATAATTTATCCACAGTAAATTTGCGTCCAGATTCTTGACAGTTCTTCTATTAACACAATATGTGATATTTTATGACAAAGATGATGGAAATAAAAAGAAGAATCTAGATAAAATTGCTTATACCCTAAACACATTTAAAAAAAAAAAAGAAAGAAAGAGTTGTTTCTAAATTTAAACTTCCTAGCGTCTGTCGTTCGTGCGCACGTGTAGTCGTATCAACATAAACAAACCGAGTCCGATGGAGGTCCTCAGGGACGAAACGTGTCTCAGAAAAAAAAACCTGTTGACTTTGTCATGCATCGTTCCACTTTCAAAAGTTTTCTTGATATATAAAAAATTTATATAACGTTATTTCCCCCACACATCTTCTGTCTTTTTTCTAGACTTCTTTATCTATCTATCTATCTATCTATCTATCTATATATATATATATATATATATATATATATATATATATATATATCAGTCTTTTCTTATCATTCATCTATCTATCTATCTATCTATCTATCTATCTATCTATCTATCTATCTCAGTCTATTCTTATCTATCTATCTATCTATTCATTTCAGTCTATTCTTATTCATCTATCTATCTATCTATCTATCTATCTATCTATCTGTCTGTCGTCGCACTGTGTGCCTATGTATGTATCTATCACAGTCTGTTCCTATCTATCTATCTATCTATCTATCTATATATATATATATATATATATATCTCAGTCTATTCTTATCTATCTATCTATCTATCTGTCTGCCGCACTCTGTCCCTATGTATGTATGTATGTATGTATGTATCTATCACAGTCTGTTCCTATCTATCTATCTATCTATCTATCTATCTATCTATCTATCTATCTATCTATCTATCTCAGTCTATTCTTATCTATCTATCTATCTGTCTGCCGCACTGTGTCCCTATGTATGTATGTATGTATCATCACAATCTGTTCCTATCATCTATCTATCTATCTCAGTCTATTCTTATCTATCTATCTATCTATCTATCTATCTATCTATCTATCTATCTATCTCAGTCTGTTCCTATTCACCATTAAGCCAATTGACACACACACACACACACACACACACACACACACACACACATATATATATATATATATATATATATATATATATATATATATATATATATAATATATAAAGACATATAGATTTATACATCGTTATCCCCACACACACATCTGTTTCCTTACTCGCTTTCTTTGTCTGTCTGACTATCTATGTATCTATGTATCTATCTATCACAATCAATTGCCACCCATATATATATATATATATATATATATATATATATATATATATATATATATATATATATATATTTATTAAAGACATTTTTTATTTTATGTTTAACGTTGTTATTTTATAAATAAACATAAAGTAAAAATGTCTTTAATAAATAAATTGTCAGACCTTGTCCATTTCTTAACATATATATATATATATATATAATTATTTATTTAAAATATGATTCCAAATCGCCATAAGAAGTCCCATGTTTCAAAAACAAGAGCCGAAAACTCAATATAATTATTTAAATCATTTAAATTATTTAAATTAAATTGAGTTAAAATAAGCTCTATTCCATCTTCAAGCGAATTTTTTTTGAATAACGTGTTTCTGAAATTTACGTGTTTTAAAAATTGAAATCAAAATTTCCATGGTAACAGCTAGGGCGAATTGTTTAAGTTGGGTAGGCGGGTATTTACCAACCAGTTCCTTCCTATTTTCTTTATATTTTCACATATATATATATATATATATATATATATATATATATATATATATATATATATATATATATATACATGTCTCGTTGAATAATTTAGACAAGGTTTGTATACGTATTTTCAATAAGATTTTCTCATATACACAGACACGCTTCTTAGTATACTTATTAAAAGAAGAGAAAAAATTACCATGTTGATGCATATTCATTTATTTCGAGTACATTTGACATTAGCACAATGTCATCATCAGGGTGTTGTTGTTTTTCCTAAGACAAAATTGTTGTATTCATCTGAAAGCTTATTGTTTTTTAACGATGAACTGAAAAAAACAATAAGATTACGTACTATACGATTTAAATTTGACGATGTAAACGTCGTGAGATGTAACTAAGTTTTGAAATATGCATATGCTTTTTTTTTCAAGAAAATAACTTTAATAAAAACGAAATAAATTTATTAAAAACAATAAAAAAATGTCTAGAAAAATTTGGACAAAAGATTTCGTATTCATATTGTCAACTGAAAATTACGTTAAGTTCTGTCACATGTGGAAATATTGTTTTTACTGTTGGGTTGACGGATTCAAACCGTTTGATTTCTTTATACAGTTTGCTTAGGAGAGTAGTAATTCTGTTAGGAAAATTGAAATAGGGAAAAAGCCTGGACGTAGATTAATATTTGGATAATATTCAATGGCGGCACTCTCTATGACTAGTGCATTAGTTAAGTTGATTTTTGCACTTTTGTTTTGGTATTATTAGCTACTTTGTTCTAATAAATTCATTTCGTTTTTTGCCTTGAAAAAAGACCACATTGGACGAAACGCATTGGCCAATAATACAGTTTTCTTATTGTTTTTACCTATATATATATATATATATATATATATATATATATATATATATATATATATATATATACAGATACAGATACAGAGAGAAAAAGAGAGAGCGAGAGAGAGAGAGAGAGAGATTAATAAAATTTTAAGGTTTGTCACTTAGCTGATTGCTTTTACCTTCAGCATGACGACCCCAGAGTTTCATAGACTGACTCGTCCGTACACTCGTCAGGGACTATCAACAATTGACTGCTTATACATATTGATTAGTCTTTAGACATAATAGGAAGGTTAAAGTGTGCAGTTAATTATGTTATGATTTTCTTTCGGAGATATATTAAGATACTTGGACAGTTGAAGAGGATTAATGGTTCAGACTCAAAAGTCAAAAGCGAAGAAGATGTGGATACCCACGATCGACCACGTTATAAAGGAAGGCTGCAGCTAAATGACTATCCTTATTTTTGCATAAACCTGCATAAAATACTATAGTTGATTTGTTGTTGTTTTTTCTTTTCTTTTTTTTTTTTCTCAGCGTCATATCAACCTCTACGGGTTATTTTAATGCCTTCAACCACCGATAAAATGCATTGTTGGTCATGACAGCTTATACATCTTGATGTTTCTTTTTTTTTATATGCACTTATCAAGCTTTTGTTTTTCCCAGTCTATATGAGCGTCCGTGCGCGTGAAGTCATGCGCCCGCCTTCGCGGACTTGCGTACATGTAGAATTTCGTTCATGCTTATTTTTCGTCGTTTCATCTTTCTCCATTTTACACTGTTTAACCTTTTTTCACTCTTTTTTTCTTTTCCCCCTTTTGTTCTAGTTGTTGGCATTTGTTGGCATGTACTTTATATAAAATTAATACAAGTAAAATGTTTGGCCCTTAACTGATGTTACCTTCAGCATCGCGACTCCAGAGTTTCGTAGACGGAGACTCAAGAATCACACCGTCCACTTGTCAGGTAATATCAACATTACTATATATATATATATATATATATATATATATATATATATATATATATATATGTGTGTGTGTGTGTGTGTGTGTGTACTTTAAAAAATATATATATATATATATATATATATTATGAGATTTAGAATTCAGAGTACTTAGCATTTATTTTATTTAAAAAAACAGTGTTCGATACAAAAGTATTATATATATATATATATATATATATATATATATATATATATATATATATATTAATTTATCTTATAAATTAAGTAAATCAATTTCTAAAAAGTCATTTTAGCCTGGTTTAATAATGAACGGGAACTTTTTTTATTTTAAGTTCTCATTTTATAATTGAATTTGAATTTAAGTTTCAGCTTGGAAACAGCAATATTTGTTAGATGATATTATATTTAAAAATACATTATAATATATATATATATATATATATATATATATTATAATATATTTTTAATTGTATTATTGATTGTATTTCTTCAGTCGATGATAAGTAACTAGTGATTAAATCATTTTTTTAATATATATATATATATATATATATATATATATATATATATATATATGTGTGTGTGTGTGTGTGTGTGTATATATATTTTAAAAGTCTTAAAAGAATATATATATATATATATATATATATATATATATATATATATATATATATATATATTCAGTTCGTAGAATTTACTTTTAAAAAGTAATTCTATACAATGTGGAGAAATATATTAATAAAAAAAAATAATCGCTACACAAAAAGATTTCATGTTTCAATACTATGATTGTATTTCTTCAGTCGATGATAAGTAACTAGTGATTAAATCATTTTTAAGGAATATATATATATATATATATATATGTGTGTGTGTGTGTGTGTGTGTGTGTGTGTGTGTATATTTAAAAAGTCTTAAAAGAACATATATATATATATATATATATATATATATATATATATATATAGGTAAATATATTCGTCTTGGAAAACCTTAGGTTTATTTATTTGCTAATGATCAAATCAATTTCCAAGGAAAAAAGTTTTAAAAAAAGAAAGCGCTATGAAGATGAACGTCTGTCGAAAATAATCGTACAGCATACAGGTCCAAAGCCCAAAGAAAAAAAAACCCGATACGAGTAATCAACTAACTAAAAAAGTGCTCAATCCAAAAGTAGTAGAGACCTAGTCAAACCTAGAGAGCCAGACTAACCTACCAAGTTTTCACCTAAGCGGATCGTTAGCGAAGCCAGCCTTCCCGACGATTCGATTAGGTGAAACCTTGGTAAGTTAGTCTGGCTCTAGGGAATTTGAATATATATATATATATATATATATATATATATATATAAGCTAATAATTTTAACCCAGAAAGGAAATAAGGTCACTAAGACGCAGGAAGTGAAATAGTTTGAGAAAATATGAGAAAAAACATTAAGAAGGAGAGAAAACAATAAAGAATACGGGAAATATGGTGATAGAAGATAATTGACTTTGCATTTAAATTTTTGAACATTTACCTTTGAATGGGAAGCAAGAACCAGGAAGAGTATACCACAAGCCAGAAGTGCAAGAGATTATACTATTAACAAAGGTTCTATGGTTACATCTAACCAATTCACCTGTAAAATGATGAGATCTTGCCACCAAATCTAGAACTTAAATTTATAAAGACTTCCGGAAGCGTGAATCGCGTGAGAATAAACAACGAGCCGTTTCAACGTAAATAAACTTTTCTGTTTTCGCTCCATCATTACCAATTAGAGACAACTCCAGACTTTAATTAAGGGTACAGATAAAAATCATGTTCGAAATTAATGAGAGTATATGACTAATTACTTTTCTAGATTATACCAGACGCACAGCTTTTTGAAAGCAAATATAAAACTAATGGATTATCTGATAGACGATTAATAGCACTAACATTCAAAATTACACAATTTTTTTACTTTAAAAAAAATCTTCAACAAGATTTTTTTTTTTTAATTTTACATTCATGGAAACAATTTAATTGCTCACTCTGTCCGTCAATGTCGTCATTTTTCTTTTTTCTCTGACAGAATTTTGTGCCAATCGTCGCCAGGTTTAGTTAAATAAACTAAGAACAAAAGATCAAAAGACTGACACCTATTTAAACATCAACAAAGAGAGATCAATGTCTCACTTACAAAGACATAGCAATTACGCTACCCACCGAAACGACACAGAAAGAGACAAAAATCGACCCGCGACTCGACTTTCCGGGTACTCTGATTCTCAGGCGAATAAATCTGACGACTGCCCTAGTGTCAGTCTTATCGCGGTTCGACCACTGTCTCCTTTTTAAGGTCGTGCCACCAAGTATATACACGAACACATAGACACACGCTTATAATTCATCAACAAAACAGATTCTTATTAATAATAATTTCCCTAATTATATTGTTAATGAACAAATAAGATGTTGCATTAGAAATTTTATACAAATCAAATCGAATCGAATATAATAATTCTTTA